CCACTTTAACCTAACTTGTAAACTGCCTCTTCATATTCAAACTCAATTTTATTTGATGCCACAGAATGTATTATCAAATTATTCAATCAAAGGAGGACAGGAAATAGTTTACATTAGCAAAATGGAACAGTGAAATTTATTTCAACATACAAGAGATCCAGCTGAGTTTCTTTTTATTTTGCAGCTTTAAATCAGACGTTTTGTGCTTAAGTACTTCTTGCAAAAAAACAGTAAGCTTGCTCAGAACACCTACATTTTTTAAAAAAATCAGTACACATCCCATTCATCGAAGCTTCATGATGTATGACCCACTACATTTTTGCTTTTCGTTATCAATAATTGCATGTAAAGATAGTTCAGCAACAGGGTTCCACCAAAATATTAGCCAGAATACAAATTTAGGCCACCAGCCACCCAAAAGTCATAATAAAAAAAATCCCAGATATTTTGCAAATTATGAAAAGTAATGACTGAGATTTCTCCAAAGGACTAGCATGCCTCACAAAATGTGTGCAATTTGGGAGGAACCACTCTGAGCCAGAAAAGGTAACACAATTAAAAGTACATCACATATAAGATTATAATATCATTTTTAGTTAGATGATGCTAAGTTTGTTCCAGAACTTTTAAGCAATGTTACTCTTGATAATCGCCCTTCTCCCATTCTATGACTAAAGCCTTGCCAATCCTTTTATTAAAAATGTTTCTCACATCTCATTCAGACATCATCACTCTGTGCTCAGATCTATATCTTTCACGAGTTGAATACTTTTAAAGCAGCCTGCCCATTGTTGCAGGCTAATTAACATGCTTAGTTCCATATTGCTAGCTGATATGCTATCTTTCCAGCAAAACCATATGATCCTTTGAGCATTCTTTGAAAATGCAACAGTATAAGAAATAGCAGGCTGGTGTTTCATTAATGCCAGAACTTGCAATTATGAGTAGAGTCAGTGAGTTCTACTGTACTAGACTCAATCTCCAAAGCAGAATCATTGGTCTCATTGTAGCTTCTGAAAGCAGAAGAAGGCTGAAGGCCGGTTTTGATTATTGCTAACTTGGACTGTAACCAGAGGGATGCTTTTCGTCATTCCAGCAATCTTTGTACAATTCCAGCTATGATGATCCTGCTAAAGTAAGAATTCTGATGGGGTCAAATAAACTTCCAGCAACCAAGACATGATACAATCCAGTTTTACATACATCAGAAAGTGACTGCAATTGCTTCCCAAGTGTATTATAGATTGCTTCCCAAGGTGTATTATACATTGATTTTATCACACTTTCACTGCTAGTCTAACAGGTTTGGGAAACAATGCAAAATGTCTGCCAAACCTGATTATAAGAGACAAGTGGCATGAGCACCCTGCAATGCAGCATTCTCTTTTTTAATCATCATCCATTATCTGAGCAAGTTATCGCTTGTCTCCACTTTGTGCTTTGTTCTAAACATTTTATTTTTATATATTGCCTTCTGCTTGAAGGCTCTCAGAGAAATTTCCACACTTTTTTAAAATACAAAAAGCAATCTATAGATCAGAAATCAGGAGCAGTTAAATCATTTTTTCCCCTTCTTCTTGGTGGCTTCAAATCAGCCTTGACTCCTAGCAACTACAGGAACATGTCCCTGCAGTTGTCTTGGAAATATTTTCAGAAGTCACTTGCCATGGTTTTCTTCCCAGTGCTGAGAGAGACTTACTGGCCCCAAATCACGCAGCTGGCTGCCATGCCTAAGGCAAGAGTAGTACCTGGACTTCCCTTCTCCTAATCCAGTTTGGCTCTCAGCCAAACCAATCCAAACAAAAAATGATAAAAGCATACTAGCAAAAGACAGTTGTAATTAAAGGACTGATAGAAAAACGTTATTTTCAGGGTTAGATATAGAAGGTCTCACACTGCCTTAGCATTACTTCTGAGAAAGTCCAGCCGAAAGTCATTACCATTTGCATTGGTGGGACAGAATGCCATGTTCTCTACCAGGAGTCTTCAAACTTGGCCCTTTTATGACTTGTGGACTTCAACTCCCATAATTCCTCAGCCAGCATGCCTGGCTGAGGAATTATGGGAGTTGAAGTCCACAAGTCATAAAAGGGCCCAAGTTTGAAGACCCCTGTTCTCTACAGATAGAACTGAAAGACAGGCAAACTTCTATAAAGCAGATAATGTCCCCAGAGACAAGTCCTAAGTTTCAATTCTTCAAAACTTTAAAAGATTGTAATGAGCAGCATTTTTGGATCTGAATCAGGAGATGGCACAAATTAACAATAATATGAACAATCTCATTGAAACCAACAATAGCTTGACTACACTATTTAATAATAGCTCCAAATAATATGCATCACTAATCAGCCAACCTTAATTTGACCAAAGGCAATGTTTCTGTACAATTTAGCACAAATCCATTTTCCTCCTATAAACAATGTCTGCAAAACCACAGAGGATTAATCGATGTTATTTTTACATTTAACCCTCCTTTGAGACATACAGAATTGCTGATTGACTGTTTTCCATGTTAAATGCAGACCTGGTTCACAAGGGGCAGTTTATCATTACTCTGTCAAGAAAGGAACACAGCAGGTGTTTCTATGTTTTTTAAATGCTAGGTATTATCATAACTTTTTAATAGTAAAGTGCAAAGCAATGTGGACCGTTCCATTTTCTCATGGAAGAGGTTGAGTTGAGCTGTTTATGCATTTTTGGACTCAAGTCTCCTAGAACAGGAATGAGTTCAAGGTATCTCAGCTGTTTAGATGAAATTATTCTCAGAATGGGATGGCACAAAATCTTCTGGGAATAATTACACTGTTTTTCATACAATAACCCTTTAGAAATTGCTAAACTATGATCAAGTGTTCTGGACAGCATGAAAATGGTAACACATGATGAAAGTTTCATTTGGAGGGCTATAGTTTGCCTGCTCCTATTCTCAGTGCCGATTCTTAGTTTTTCTTCTACTTCATGTTTATTACTTCAGTTCTCTTACACTTCCTGCCCAAATAAAACAAGCTTTGGGTAAGGATGTAGAAAACATTTCAAAATATGCATTCATGCTCTTAATTTGATAGATTTCCAAATGATCAAAACATGTTTGTTTCAAGCTCAAAACAGTTGCTTTAAATACTTGAGGCAGCATGTTTCAAATTTTTAAGTCCTTTAAATTCAAACTGGTCTGAATTCTAAATGTTTTACATCCTACCCTGGCTTAATTTAAAAAAAAAAATCAACAATTTTGTAATTTGGAACCACATATCCTTACCTTAATCTAGAAAATAAATAATAAGTAAAATGTGGGTTTTCTTATAAGAATTTTTTCTTATAAATGGGGTTTTTATATAGCAATTTTCAACCTTCTCATTGACTAAGTTTCCCCAAAGTAAGATGTTATAAAATTATAGCATGCAATAAAAACTAAAAATCAGCAGTCATTTGTTTAACATAGCACTGCATAGCAAGCATTTTACCAATATATTCCCACTTGTGTAAATTAATATACAGATGTTTCTATATTCCTGTTTGTATATACTAGCAATTCCCTACAATTCAATGAGAATTATTTCTCAATTGTGTAGAACTGTGGACGTCTAAAATGCCCATCCAATATGGATTATCTATTCTAACAACAAGCAATTCTGAGATGATTAGATCTTTCAATCACCAAAATAATTATCTGTATCCAGATATGGCTGCCTGCTGGATGTTTTCAAGAATTCCAACAGTGATCCTGGTTTTTTCCAAACAGGAGAAACTCAGAAGGCTGGCTGACAGTTCTTTTTCCTAGTCTGAAAAAGCAGACCTTTGAAAAGGTAAGAATGGGATAGATGTCCCTGTAGAAGCAAAAGATTAGATAATTCCATGGCTGGATGTCTGGTGCTCTCATCAATTGCTGGAAATTCTGGGAGTTGTAAGGAAGCACAGGGTGCATGATGGCAACCGGCACTTTAGAAGAGGATATGGCTGAACTCAACCATAACAACAAAAAGGCTTCCACTACGTCAGGAGTAGGCAACCTTGGCTCTTTTATGACTCATGGACTTCAACTCCCAGAATTCCTGAGCCAGCTGGGAGTTGAATTCCTGAGCCAGCTGGGAGTTGAAGTCCACGAGTCATAAAAGAGTCAAGGTTGCCTACCCCTGCACTAGGTTAACAAAATCTGTTGTCCAAGGGAACCATCCAAGCCTTGAATTTGTACACTTCAGGAAGTCAAAATACCCTAGCTTCTGGTTAGGTAAGTGGTGCCCATGAGTACCAGTGAGCCCCCAGTTCCCTTTCCTGATGTCTTCTAAGTACTTGGTCCCATCAGATTTTTTTAAAATTGGGAACTGATCTCTTGCATTTAAACACTGCATTTATTTTCAGCAATGACTGCAAAGATTAGACTATAATGAATTCTTGGAAAGAATTCTTGGAGTAGTAGAGAGTAGATTGCTTTCTTATAATACGGTGCTTTGTGGCTAGCCATGCCAAGCGTTGTTGCCATTTTGTAAATGGGAAAGTCTTTCACGGCAAGCGTTATTTTTAGAGGACTTACAGTATATGTTCAACCCTTTCAATGCTCTCCCAGCCTAAAATGCTGCCCAGGTTTGCACTAAGAAACCTTGGCACAATTATTATTATTATTTTAAAAGGCAACCGCACAGTACATTTGTCTCCTTGCTATGACTGTGCCTGAAAAATATGATGCCTAATTCGATACTCATGGAATGTCTGAAGGCAACGGGCAGATTGTATAATCCTAAAATAGGCAAATAAGAGTTCAAGCATATTTTTCATAATAAAAGTCATCCAAGGAAGTTGAGTTCAACAGTTTTCAGATTTTAATAGACACAAGTGAGTCCATTTTACTTTAAGACTACACTGATTCTTTCTATTGCATATCCCTTCTCAAGAATGTGCATAATTGGAGTCAACAGTTTTCCATTGTTAAAATTAAACAAGAGTACATGATAAATCTTGTTACGGAAAAGCAGCAGCAACATTTATCTAACGGAGGGGGAGGAGGAGGAGGAGGGGGAGGAGGAGGAGAGGAAGAAGGGGGAAATTATAAAGAGTAGCTAACATTTTATAGGTAATAAATACATTCCAAGGTGTAGTATTTCATTCTACCCCAAATTCTTCGAGATACTACTGGTCAAGTTGCTTCTCTTGTGTTAAGTAGCCGTATGACATTTGGTCAGACCAGCCTCTGGAAGACTTGCTAAGCAATCCAGGTGCCAGCTCTCTTTCACAGATGATGAGCAAGGCCAGTCTGGAAACTTATCCTGCCACCTTGTGCAATGAAACCTCACGATTCTCCGAGGGAAGCGTGTCAGGATGTTTACAGACTTTGTGAAACTCTAGGACAGCTGTGCTCTTGTCTTCTGTTACCTTGAAGAAAGTGAAAAGAGGGAGAGGTTACAGAGAATTGCATCAAATAGTCCTGGAGTACAAAAAGTGATCACACAACCACCTATCTAAATATAGCTCCAAACCTCACAGTCTAATTTGGTCACAGAAAACCGGAGAGGCACAGCTACAGTTTCATTAAATAACCTGGTTCATCCTAGATAACTAGAGTTAAAGTACCATCTGCTAGGGAATGAGGGGAAAAGAACCACCCATCTTGATCAAGGCAGCAATTAGAATTTTTTCATATCATTGACTTCTCCTTGATAGATTTTACCGAATCCTTTGCTACACCTATATCTAAGTAAAAAAATTAAAGTGGAAATGTATTTGAAGTACAGGCAATCCTCAACTTATGACCATAATTGAGCATAAAATTTCTGTTACTAAGTGAGACCTGTTAAATGAGTTTTGCCCCATTTTACATCCTTTCTCACCACAGTTGCTAAGTGAATCACTGCAGCTGTTAAGTTAGTAATACGTTTGTTAAGTAATCTGGCTTCTCCATTGACTTTGCAAAAGATGATCACATGACCCCAGACACTGCAACGGCCATAAATATGAGTTAGTTGCCAAACATCCAAATTTTGATCACGTGTGAAAAATAATCATAAGTCACTTTTTTCAGTGCCATTATAATGTTGAATGGTCACTAAACAAATTTTTGTAAGTTGATGACTACCGATACAAATGCTGTAAAATTGAAGTTTATTATTGTGGTAACAACAGTTCAGTTTCCTTCCTAAAATAGCACATAGAAATTAATGCTTACATATGAAGTCTCATCTTGAAGCTTCAGCTAAATATCAAGTGCCAGATGCTGTTCTTTAGAGGAATTATCCACATCTGATTATCAAACAGATTCTTTGCACTAGCAGCAATTTCATTTTTTAAGCATGGACAAGATTCACCAATCCCACCTTCTTTTCCTGCTCTAGCCCTCCGGTCCATTAATCCAACTGGTTCAGGAGAACTTCCAACTTTAAACAATCATTATTTTGTAAGCAACAGAAAATGTGAGTAGAACAGCAGATTAGCAAAAAAAATAGAGACTGGGCACTTGCACAAATGCAAGCATTTCTATTAGGGAAATCCACTATATTTTTCATATTACACCCAAATAAGATTAATCCATATTGATTCATCTGATTATAAGCCCTATGAAACTTAGACTTTTAGTTGATTGTTTCCTTGGATTTGCATCATGTAATAAGAAGCTGTTATTCCGCCTTTTTTTCTTCTGTGTGCCCTGTGATTTACCTCATGATGTTCCTGTTTTGCCTGACTATCTTCTTTGCTGTATACATAGATGTAAAATATGTTTATATAAAACCACAAGTTCGTATCAGCGTCTCTGACTTCATTTGGACACATGCTGTGTAATTCTCTGACATACGTCATTTTTTTTCCAGTGCCGTTGTAACTTTGAACAGTCACTAGTTGTAAGTCAAGGACTACTTTAATTACGGTAAGCCAACAGAAGATTTATAAAAGAATGGGTTTCTGAACTTCCAAAACTATTGAGTTAATATGGATTTCCATTTCTTTTCTTCATGAACAGCAATAAGACTTTCTTAACTGGAAAGTACACAAATATTTTACACAAGATCCTCAAGTATTATTCAGCGTTAATCATTAAGAAAATAATAAACCATTTTCATTTTTTCTGCCCCAAAGAAACAAGGAACAAACAAACTTAGATGATCTTATAAGGAAATAACAAGCACAGTTAAACTGAAATTCTCATTTTTTTCATAACAAAACTTTATCCAAGCATTATTTGTTAGCAGTTTTTACGAAGATGGCTTTTTTTGTGCTTTTGATACTTCTGCTGAAATAACAACTCACATTTCCTCCTTTTCTTTGTTAAAATACAAGCCTCCCATGAATCAGAGAACTGAGAGAAAGAGGGGAAAGAAAATAATTTGAAAAGGAAATGAGAAACTGTTTATGCACTTTAAAAAAAATCTCTTTTTAAAAAACTGCCATTTTAATCATATGAAACATTCCAAACGTAGGCATCTTTGGCAAAAAAAAACCCCCAAAAAACCTCTTGAGCATGCAGGAGATAGTGGAATAAAGGTGCAGCAGCTACCAACATAGTCTTGTCCTAGGAGGCAGATTCTCTCTGGATGCCAAGCTGAAGCCAGATCAAAGCCACTTTAGTGAAAATTACAAGGCTGCCTCCTAACTTCCAGATTTCCTGGTTTGCATGGAGGAAGATGGTGGAGGAAAACTGGCAACTTGCAGGTCTCTCCCACGTGGCCACAGAGCTCCATGATCTATGGTCATTTCTGCTTTAGCTGCCAAAGAGAATAGAACCTTCCCAGCCAGTTGTCAAGCCTTTAAACGCTCAGAATACAGCCATGTTTCTTCGTTTTTCGGTTGCCACAGCAATGGGAGATGCATTCTTATAGTTTAGTCAAAGCAATAACTTTCTTGTGGGAACCAAGGTCAAGCAGCCTAACTGTTTGGCGGGCTGGAGTATTAACTGGGGATTGTGATTTATGGCACACTAAGGGGTAGGGAGTTCAACTTTTGCTTTGTAACCTTTTGGGGAGGGGAACTTTCAGTCTTGGTTTCACCTTTGTTCGTGCCTTCATGTTTTGAACTGGAGAGCTTTCCTCTCATCTTGAGAACCCTGCCTAATGTGGGAAAAGACAGAGCTCTTTGTATTTGGAATGCTTGAATTATATTTGAAATGCTAAAATATAGTAAATGTTGGGAAATAGAAAATGTCAGTCTTCCCTATTGTTTTAGTAACGATTTAATTTTATAACAGCACAAATGTCCTCCTTTTCATTAAGGGTTACAAAAAGAGACATGTTTTTGATAGGGTAGGGTTGAACTAGGGGTCCTTGGTGCTCTCTGAACTTGTTGGTTTTCTTGTAGATGTTTCATTACCCAGGTGGGTAACATTATCAGTGCACTGATCCCACAGGATATATTTTCTTAGTTAACCTTCACCTATAGCTATATTTCAAAATGTTCCCATTCTTAAAAAATGAAAAGGGAAAAAGTGTGAGTTGTATACAATCAAATGCTTCCAGGCCAAACATATTCAGTTAAGATGTTTTATACTAAAAATGTATGAATGTGCAAGCTTAAATTGGGACTGGACAAGGTCAAAAGCTATGCAAAACAAAAAGTGTCACAAATATATTCTGGTTTTGGCCATTCTCTGTGGAAAAGAGGGTTCTACCCATCACTTTGTTTTTTCTGCAAAAAAGCAGAAAATAAGGAGGTTATGACTGGGCATAAAACAGAAACCCAGAGATCTTAAAGTTTGCTTTGCTTTATGAAACGGATTCTAAGGAATGACTGACAAATGCAAAGCATGTCACATTTACAACAGACAAAAGGATGTTAAGGAAAAACCTTGAAGATCTGAGGCTATGAAAAATCTTTGCCATTTCATCTGCAATTCTCTTTCTATTATTACATTGGTTGCATTGTCAGCAAGATGTTAAGACTGGATTTGGCATTTTTATCCACCTATTGAGTCCTTCCCAAGGACCTGAGAGAGGCAAATATTTGATATTGTTGAAGAACATCTGCCTACCGCAGGTAGATGGGCAGATGTTCATTATCATTATTTACAGCTGCCAGTTCTTTAGCTGGTATTGGCCTCCATCCACATTGAGTTCTTTCCAAGAAGCCAGAACATTGTAATGAATCGGTGTAGTATATGTGCCAAGCCAAGTAGTGTGGCCTTTTGCAAATGACTGATGGAAATTTTGTCAAAATATAGAATTTCTAACAGCTGTCCAAACTTTTTTGATAGGTACCCAGTATGCCAATAAGCACTAGTTATAATTAATAATGATAATAATGATAAATCATGTATTACAAATACTAAGAAATAATTTTAGGAAATATTATATAAATATAATTTTGTCCTTTTTAAAAAAATATATTTTGGTCAACTAAAGGCATTAAACAAATCTAATACTCCTACTTCCTATTTTTCCTACAACCACCTTGTGAGGTGGGTTGGGCTGAGAGAGAGTGACTGGCCCAAGTCATCCAGCTGGTTTTTCATGCCTGAGGCCAGCCACTTAACCACTGCACCAAAATATGCACACAATCCAGGTGGTGTCTAAACCAGCTATGCTCTGCGTAAAGCTTACAGTTTACTCAATTATCAAACTTTTAGTGGTGAGCACATTCAAAACTAGAATAGAAAGACTTCAGTTTCATAGCTTAACCAGGTTTCTGACTACAAAGAAAAGCAACCCTCTTCTCATGCCCTTAACTTTCACTATTTTCAAGTATCAAAAAGTCTTGAACAGTCAGGCCACTGCCTAAGACAAATATATGTTTTGTAAATTTGCTGAGATAGAAGTGGCCAAACATTAGAACCCAGTGACATTAAAAAGCTAACTTCACAGTTTGGACCATGAGCAATTTCATTACTAACACCAGGTCTGTCTGCTATGACATGAATCTTGGAACACAAAGATATACATAACATCACTGCTAAAAAGAAAACCATTTTCAAAGAGAATATGTAACTTTCATGGCTCATTTCAACTTGAAAACAAATAGTTATGGTACTAAACAAGAGCCTAAAGCAGGATCAGGAAGAGGGTGGATCTATCAGTAAATCGCAAGAGTTTGTCACTCACAATAAGAACAATCGAAAGAACTTTCCTTCAACTTTGGTTGAAACTACTATATTAACAAAAAAAATGGGGCGGGGGAAACAAGGCTGGTTTTCAAATGCTACTTGTTCTACTGTGCTGAAAACAAATTTCCTGGATAGCTTGTGTTCATAATATTTTATTCCTCAATTTTAAGTGCATGCGCCAGGGGAGTCTTCACTAAGACCATTTGAATCTATATTGATAAACTTTGGATTTTAGGAAATTCTTCTCTTTCATACGTATACATTACAGATCCAGAAGTCTAAAAAATGTTCACGTGCAATCTAAGACACAGAAAAAATTCTGGGGCTTATAGTACATATGTAACAAAGAACA